TTTTGTTGTGAGGTGGTGAGATCCCTCAGCTCATGCAGGAACAGTATGAACAAGAATCTCCGTGTTGTGTTTTTGTTTGTATAATTATGATTGGCATGAATACCGCCCTGGTCATTTCTGTAACAGTTATGCTTTACCAGTCTGGTCCAGTCTGTGCAGTGTGTGTGATGCCCTGTTGGTCTGGGGGTGTGTCTGGTCCAATCTGCAGTGTGTGTGATACCCTGTTGGTCTGGGGGCGTGTCTGGTCCAGTCTGCAGTGTGTGTGATGCCCTGTTGGTCCGAGGGTGTGTCTGGTCCAGTCTGCAGTGTGTGTGATCCCCTGTTGGTCCGAGGGTGTGTCTGGTCCAGTCTGCAGTGTGTGTGATCCTCTGTTGGTCCGAGGGTGTGTCTGGTCCAGTCTGCAGTGTGTGTGATCCCCTGTTGGTCCGAGGGTGTGTCTGGTCCAGTCTGCAGTGTGTGTGTGATGCCCTGTTGGTCCGAGGGCATGTCTGGTCCAGTCTGCAGTGTGTGTTATATCCTGTTGATCAGGGGGCGTGTCTGGTCCAGTCTGCAGTGATGCCCTGTTCAGTTGGGGTCAGGGGTTGGGGGTGTCTGGACCAGTCTGTGCGGTGCAGTGTGTGATTGGTTGGCATGTAGATGTCTTTAGATATTTCAGTAAGACAGTTCATAAAAACCTACACAAATTCTGTGCAACCTCTTGGCAGCAGAGCATTTAAAGCACACCTGTTCATTGTTATTATTCACAGACCACATCTTTCATGAAAATCGTTGAAGGATGCAGTCATTCTTGTGTGATTTTATTGTGTGCTAAGCTGGACACTGCGGATGACCTTCTGCAGTTGGGCAGGCTCTGGTGGAGGCAATGAAGGGTGACATGGGACCTGTGCCCTGTGCCATTACGGAGGGCGATCAGCACAGGGCTTTGCTGGGACCAATTTAAACCTGGCACAGAACTGAAATTCCTCCAGCGGGTGTTGGCCTAACCACGTACCAAGACAGCTGTGTGTCTGGAACTCAGAGCAATTGTTTACACTCAGGACCTCAGAATCGGTGCTCCCCAAACGTGTGGGCATGAATAAAATGTGTGAGACACAGACTATCTGTGGGGTTGAAACATCTGTTCTTCTCAGGAAGGAGGGCAGAGAATGGGAAAGTGTTCTTTTTGTTATGCAAAGTGCTTGGTAACGATAAAAAATCTAAAAGGGTAGATTTTTGGTTCTCTCGTAAGTAAGGATGTAATGGACCCTTTTGAAACATAAAGTGATGCTGCATAACAGTCCAGTAGTGTGAGCCCTCTTCCGTATGTAATGGTTTGCAATTTGATAAA